TGTTCGCGGGTCTCCTGCATGGCGGCGACACTCGAAGTCGGGGCTCGCTCCATCTCCTCACACGGCCTGGGCTCGCCTGGCCTCTTCAGGGGCGTCCAGGCCCCGGCTCGGCGCCGGCAGTGGCCGCTTCAGTCCCCGGGGTCTGCCCAGCTCTTCCTCGGAGCCCCTGGCTATCCGCCCAGCTGGCCTGCGGCGCGGGCTGCCTCTGGGGACGGCCCTGGCCAGCCCTGGCCGGCACAGGCTCTCCCTAGGGGAGGCTCTGCCGCCCACTCCGAGGCCGCGGTCCTCCCGAGAGGGGCCGGCCTGGTCAGGGCCCGCGCTGCTGCCACTCTGCCCTGCACCAGGGTTCGCACCTGAGCCAGGAGCCCTCCTGGGCCTCTGCCCCGACACAGGAGGTGTGGGGGGGCTCATCTCCTTCCAGGCGGCCCCCAGCCCCATTCTCCGTCTCCTGCTTCCTGGGGTGCGACCCCGTCCCCTCCCTGGTCTCGCTCTCCTGTCCCTTCCGCCTGGCCCTTGTCCCCTGCGTCTGGCTTGCTGACTGCAGCCGCGCTGACCGCCCCTCGCCGGCTCCGGGCCAGTGTCCGAGCCGGCGCCCGCAGTCTGCCCGCCTGCCCCACCAGCTCCCTGGGCTGACTTTGCCTTCGGCCCGGGGCTGGGCAGCTGCAGGTGGCACTGGAAGGTGCAGGGGATGGTCGGGGCAGTGCTGGTGACGGGAGGAACACCAGAGGGGCTACAGCAACAGGCCAGAGAGAAGGAAAAGGATCTTGGAGCCAGGAAACACGGCCTGGGCATCGCGGCAGGACCAGCGGCCTTCCCCCGCCCTGCCCTGCCGTCAAGGCAAGGGAGGTGCCGCCTGGAGGGGCCATGGGAACCCCAGCGGGGAGTGGGGTCCCCGAAGGCGGGAAGGCCGCGAGCTCCGTCTTGGGAGTCACTGGAAAATGACATTTTCCTGACATAATCTCACTTAACTTTGCACCCCCAATGCAGCCAGCAGCACAGGGACCCTGTCCTCACACACACGTGTCCTCACACAACATTTCTGCCAGGAACCAAAGCCTCTCGTGGCCAGGGAAGCTTCTGCGGTGCAGCGCCGGCCATCTCCCAGGCGTCTCACGTTCCCGCCAGTGCGTCAGCTCCGGCCAGACAGCACGGGGAGGCAAAGCCCAGCCCAGCCTCACGCTGCGGGGGCAGGAGAGCCGCGTCGGAAATGCTGCTGCTTTTTTTTTTTTTTAAGACTTATGTATTATGCATACAGCGCTGGGGTGCAGGCCTGAGGTGGGGGTGAGAGGATTCCCCAGAGGCAGAGTGGGAAGCGCAACAGGCCGGCCCACTGAGACCCGCTGCTGAGGGGGCAGTGGGGAGACGGGAGGGGTCTGCTGCCCTGGGGTCCCTCCCCGCCGGGGCTCAGACTCCACTGCAGGGGCTGCAGCCAGCCTCGCAGTGCTGCGCTTTGACCCGCTGGGCCACCAGGGAGGCCCAAGAAATGTTTCCTTAAAAGTTTGCCCTCTGTTGATAATTGCTTTATATCCCATTATTTAAGTAACACGCACACTGTTCTTCGTTCCCCCCAATTAAAATACATGGTGTGATTTATTCTCCTTAACAGAAACTTAGAGCCACAAGTCAAAGGGGCGACTCAGGCAGGCAGATTCTTCCCCAGGGGCACAGAGAGGCCCCAGGAATTACGCTCCCTACTTAACTGGCTGGGAACAGAAACCTGTCGTTAAAGTATTGATGACTGCTCCGGAAGCCGTCTTCTCCAGCCTCCCGCCCCGGCTGCTCCTGCTAGAGGGAGCTCACAGAGGGCAGATGCAGCAGGTGCAGGGGTTAATGCACCCTGGGGCAGGGCAGGGCCCAGCAGGAGCCTGCGTGGGGGGGTGGGGGCGGGTGGCCAGAGGCTGGAGCCCGACACCGGAGCCCCTAGGAACACCTACTGCCAGCCCCTTCTTGGCCACTTAGGCTCAGTCAGCGCAGACCCTGTGGAAAGAGCCAAGCCCAGCGCTCGCCCTGCCCCTGGGGGCTCAGCCTGGCTAGGCCAGATTTGCATGCTGGAAGGGCCGAGCTGGAAGGGCCGCCCTGGAAAGTTCCAGGCGTGACTGGCAACGGGAACTGAGCTCGACAGAGGCCACCAGATGAGCTCAGCGAGGCGTGGCTGCGAGTCACGTCCCGGGTTACGGGTTGTTCCGGGTCAGAGCGACGGTTTCTGCGGCTCACGGGGCGCCCGCCTCTCTGCATCTGAACCCTCGCCCCCCCCCGCCCTCCGCTCCGCCCCCACAAGGGCGCTCTGAGCCCCTCGGGCCGCCCAGCCCTGCGTCTCATGCATTTGTGCATGTGCAGCTCCTGGCCCGTGCAGGGAGGATCAGGCTGGTCATGGGCAGTGCAGGGCTGTGGCGGGAGGAGCAATGGAGTTTAGGGTGCAGGCACACCCCTGTCCGTTCCTTCATTCGCGCGCTACCACTGGGCATCTAACCACAGCCTGGCCCCGGGCTTGTGCCGGTAAACTAAAGCCACAGACTCTTCTTCACAGGAGCTGGGGAACCGAGGGGGGCGACTCGGGCCCGGGTGTGTGTGGGGGGTGCGACCCTGCGGCGCCTCCATGGTGTGTGGAGACAGAGGGGCCGGTCATCCAGCCCGGGCCAGGGGCTGCAGGAGCAGAGCTGCAGAAGGTGCCTGACCGGGACTGTATGCTGTTTACTTACACACACAGCACTGGGTGCAGGCCAGAGGTGTGGGGCTGAGAGGACTCCCCAGAGGCAGAGTGGGGGCACAGCAGGCAGATGGCTGAAATCCACTGCTGAGGGGCGCAGCGGGGGACTGGAGGGGTCTGCTGCGCCCTGGTGAGACTGAACCCAGGCAGGCCCTGACTCGGATTGTAGATGTCAGACGAAGCCTCCGAAGATCAGGGCCTCCTCGGGGCCCCAGGGTGATCCTGGAGGCAGGGGAGTCCAGGGCAGTGTGTGTGGGAGGTGCGCACCTGCACAGGTACATCTGCCAGGAAGGGTCACCTGCGCCAGGTAGCCTGACTCCCGGGAGTGCTTTCGAGCGCGTCTTTGACACAAAGTTGCTTCACCTCTGACTCAACTGTGCTCAGTTGCTTCACCTCTGACTCAACTGTGCTGTCAGCAAATGGCAATGGCTTGAGCTTCCTCTCTCCCGAGCGCCCCCACCATCCCCTGAGCGCCCCCACCATCACGGCGCCGTGTCTGGATGAATAACGAGGGCGGCAGACACAGAGATGGGGGGGGGGTTACAGCTGGACTTCTATAGCTCAAGGCAGCAGGCCAACTCGCAGACCTCACGTTCAGCAGACACAGTGTTTAACCAACGTTCGGCGTTAACTCTTCTCTTAAAAGCCCATGCCCCGTTTGAAACGTCACTATGCACTAAAAACCACTTTAAAAAAAATAATATCATAGTTTATTTTTGCATCAGTTTGTGCCTTTTCCGTCTCAGCTACAATCCCCGTGGGCTTCCCACCACCAAACACCCGCGTGCCATCACCACAGTGAATAACACTTTGAACAAAGTTCTGAGTTTCCACCACCAAGGCTTTTGCACGGGGATTTCTTTCCATTCAAGGAGCAAGACGCTTCCAGGGAGGAGGCTAGTTTTCGTCACTGCACACTGGGGTCCGGAGTCGCCCCAACATTGCCGCTGCTCCTTGGCCATGGAAAGACTTCCCTCCACACCGTGCTCGGGCGATTTTGCTGAGGTTTGGATGCGCTGCCTCTGGATTTGGAATCTGTCAAAGCTGACCTGCTCAGAGGCCCGTCCGGGCCAATTGTGAGGTTTTGCAGAAATTCACAATTACTTAAAACATAATTTGGAATTTCTATGGGCTGCACTATCTCAGACAGCAAAGGGGGGAGCTCCCAGCTCAGAGGGAGGCATGTTGGCCTCCCCGCTGGCCCGGGGCTGGCCCTGGCTCGCCTGCAGCCTGTGGTGGCATCTGCGGCCCGTGCCCACCCAACCTGGCAGCGCAAGCATTTGACTATGACCCAGCTACGAGCCGCTTCGCTGCTTACTTAGTTTGATGCCCGCAGTTTCTTTCTCCCAGGAAAATATTTATTTGGGGTAATGCCAGGGGTTCTGAGGCTGCTGCACCAGGCCAGCCCCAGGCCCCAGCGAGGAGTCCACTCTGACCCCAGGTACCCCGCCGCTAGGGCTACATCCAACTGCCCGTCCCGGACGAAGTTCCCAGGGTGGGGTCTAAACACACGAAATTGGCATTTTGGTCAAACAAAGCAAAAGCTAGGAAAAGCATGCACAAGCCTGCAAGACCCTGCCTCAGGGCTTGTCTGCTTTGGGCACTGAAGTCTATTCAGACAGGCTCAAGAGAAGCAGTTCTTTTATTTGGAAACTCAGGGTTTTCTCTTGCTGGCGGCATTCGTGTGTCACATTAGACCATTTCCCCAAGAGCAGCCGGGCTGTTGCACACGGGCAGGCTGCTTCCCTCTGGGGACCGCTGTGGGGGCTGTGGGGGTGCAGGGCTCACGAGCAGACAGTGGCCAGCAGCCACCAGAGAGGCTCAGCGGAACACGGACCAGGGCCCAAAGCCACCGCTCTCGGCTGCTTCTTTCCTGCCCCTGCGTCCTCCCAAGCCCACCTCTGCCCCGCTTCCCCTCATCCAGGCCCAAAGAAGCGCCTTCCTGACCCCACCTGGCTGCGAACTCCAGGGCTGGCGTCCCCTGAGCCCCGGGGAACTTCCGGAGCACCAGGAGGCCCTGAGCCAGGGTGAAGGAAGGAGTCGGAGGCGAGGGGCCAAGCTTTCTTGCTCCTGAAGGCCCCACGGGTGGCTGAGCTCCCCAGGGAGCACCCACTATCTTCTAATCTCAGGGAGACCAGGGGTTCCAGAAACGGAAGGGGTGGGGCCGGCAGCGCCCATTCACCCCACTGAAAGGCGCCTGGGTGGGGCACAGGAGGGGAACCCATGGGCGCCCTCAGCCAGCCCCCGCCCGGCCGCTGGGTCTGAGTCTGCTGGGCAGGGCGCTCGGGTCCCTTCAAACTCCGCTCCCTTCCCGGCTGTAGACGAAGTGACCGAGGCGGAAACCGGTGGCTGCTGATTGGTGGCCGGTGGCAAAGCCAGGCGCAGGGCCGGGGACCGGGGTACTGTGGACTGCGACCGCGGCCGTGGGCCTCCGGAAAGAAGGGTCGCTGGCCAGGCCCCCGGGGAAGGTACTGAGGCCGCCGGTCAGCGCGCCCATGGCTGAGGAGAAGCTGGAGAAGCAGGCGGCAGCCGCGGGCGCAGGCAGGGACAGTGAGGTCTGGGGGGCCTGGCGGGGGGCACCCAGGGCCTGGGGCCCCGGGGATCCTGCAGGGCTTTGCAGTCTGGAGGGTGTTGCGCCCGCCTCTGCTCTCCGCTTCCTTTTCCTTCTGAAGTTCCCGTTGTCGAACATCTTCTGGCAGTTTGGGTCCAGGGTCCAGTAATTGCCTTTCCCTGAGGAAGAAAAGGGTCCAGCTCAGAAACCTGGGATCTGAGGGTGCAGGTGTGCACCCAGGAAAGATGCCCCACCTCCAGGACATCCTGAGCCTTCGCCCCCACCCCCAAACAGTGGGTGAAATTGTCGGGGGAGGGACAGACCAGCACATCTGGAAGAATGTGGTCACCCCAGAAATGCTGGGAAGGGCGGGATGACAGCTTGGAGACCCCTGGGATGGAACAGGGAACCCAGGGAGAACCGAGCAGGCTCAAGACCAGAGAGCAGTAGCGTGAGGGCGCTGCAGAGCCTTCCAGACCTGCGGCCTCACTCCACAGCCCAGCCCAGCGCAGACCCAGCGCTGCCCAGAGGGCATCTCCTCTGGCTCCCCTTGGCTCCCTGCTCCTGCCTCCAGCTTTCACACAGAGGACACTGAGCCTCAGAGGAATACCCCGCCACGGGTGCCCTGCTGGGGGCTCCCTCCAGGGAGGGAGAGGGCACACAGGGATTCAGAGCCGGGCGGACCTGAAGGCAGGCTCCCCTGCCAGGCTCCTCGCTCCTTCCAGGCCTCTGCCCCAGTCCTGGGGTCCTGGAAGGCGGCCACGCGCCTGTTACCTGGGTCGCCCTCCTCGCGGGGCACCTTCTTGAAGCAGTTGTTGAGCGACAGGTTGTGGCGGATGGAGTTCTGCCAGCCCACCCTGCGGCGCCTGTAGAAGGGGAAGTTGCCAGCCACGTACTGGTAGATCTGGCTGAGCGTCAGCCGCCGGCGCGGCGCTCTGGATCGCCATGGCGATGAGCGCCCAGTAGGAGTAGGGCGGCCTCACCAGCCTCAGCAGCTCCTGCGGGCTCGGGCTCGAGAGGCTCAGCCCTGCGAGCTCGGCAGCCGCCCGGCCGCCAGGGGAGCCGAGGA